TGATCCGGGTTCACATTTATAGTCCTCTATATCAGTTATGTTGTCGATTACCAGGGCTGACGAGACTACCAGGGTAACCAATATTATGTATATAATATTAGATATTGACATAATAGTAAATTTTATGTTTATATATTATATTTACTATTATATGATATTATTTTAATCATGTTAATATATTAGAATGCTTACATGTGGATGTAGCTAGGTCCTTTGGGTATTTCAGTGGGAATAAATCTAAGATAAATAAAATATAGTTAATTTTAATAACATTAAGTTAATGTGTAACATACCTTTGCAATAGTCCTGTGAACTAAAACCAATGCAAACACTGAACACACAAATTAAAAAGTGTTTCATTTTTGTTGTTTGATTTACTTGTGAATAGACTTTCAATTCTCACAAATGTAATGATAATTATCGTACTATTTTCTTTAGTTTTATAATATTTATAAAACACTTGTAATCATATAAAACAAACATTAATTAAATGTTTAAAAATACTCTAGTTCACATTGTCCTAAAATTGTAATCTTTATAGTATAACACGTTATTTTATAAACCTTGTAAAATATTATATTTTTACTGTGATCCGCATTATCCTAGTTTATAAATCACTATATTGACTAACAATAACACAATAGTATGATAACATTGTACTAAAGTTATTATATCACTTTATATTTATTTTGTAAGAAATGTACTATGTACTATATTAAGATAACTTAGGACATATAGAAATCAATTACATATTTCATTCAAAGTACATTTATTATACAACTAAACTGTATTTAATCATTATAATTAAAAGCTTAAATGTTATGTCAGGGGTTTATAATTAGTTCCCGTTTTAATAAGTATGGAATTCTATACGATTATTAAAAGTATTACATATCTATGAGATTTTTAATATTGAAAATATGCTCTAACCCCTTTATATGTTTCCCAACCTTAATAACAGTATGAATACCAAGGTGCATTAATAGTGAGTTAATTGAAATACATAAAAACTAATCTATTGCATTAATCAAGGCCCATTTTTGTAATAAGTATGTACTAAATAATATATTTAAGCACATAAATGTACTTTAGTATTTTCTAATGATAAATTAAATATTATATGTTATTATCTTTGATATATTATCCTGGAAATATATAATTGAAATTTTTTCGAGTAACAGCTGTGTATTTTATTTGTAATCTATTTATTATTATTTAATATAAATTAATGATTTAATCATTAATAATTGTTCACAACATAGTATAAGAAATTATCTTCATATTTTTTAATTATAATTAAATCCTTACAAAAAATAAATATTATCTTTCTACAATTTTATAAGTTATTATACAATATAAGAATAATTATTTTAAGCTTTTTAGACAATATGAATTTTTATGTGTTTTTATGTACACCCTATGTATAGTCTGTGTCATAACCTAGGACTTATGACAATAAACTTAATAATAAAATATGATTCATAATGAAATAAACCACAAAGTCTTTGAATTCCTTGTTATTCATGAGAAACATATCATAACAATAGAAACCAATGTCTTTGGCCGACACTCTCTCTATGAATGACATTATTTTGAGTCTATTTTTCACCGGAATTCGCGTATTTTTCGCACAAATATATGAATTCATAATTGTGTGACACTTATAGGCAGATGAATTAACCTTGCTGCTCATCATATCAATAAATACCGCAATCATCATTGTTGAGAAAAATATGAAGCTAAATGTCAATTTTGCAATCACCGTGGTCTCTTTGGCAAATATCAAAAACAACACTAGCTCTAAACCAGGACTAGCAATGTAATATATAACATAGATCATATATTTAAACATATTATTTAGTTTATCAATAATAATAGCCAATGATTGATAATCATTAATGGCTGCCATAAGTAACCTAACATTGTTATTATGTATAGCTACATTAATTTGCTCATTAACTTCCATGTATTTATACTTTATATACGTTATGGTTATGGCAAATAAAATCACCGTGAACGATGTTATACTAGCTAAATGCTCGGTCACTACAGTCCAACATATCTGCCATAATATTACACCACTTAATGTATACCCAGATCCGGGGTCCATGTATGACATTATGGCTATGGATCCATACACTATCAAACAAAGCGTATTCAATGCCCAAAACGATTGATTCATATAATATTTTGTAAGTATATTGAACCGAAACATGAGTTTATGATAATGGCTGCCATTTAAACGTGGATTCAGTTCATTGTGTTTAATATTATAGAAAAATTCATGAATATATGAAGTTTTACGTAATTCATGGTACGTTACGATAATTAAAAACGTAAACACCGCCAGGTTTCCGAAACAAAAGAATCCGGATATTAAGTGTCGGTTACCTAGTAGGTAATTAAAATCGCATAATAGGTGCTTGAGATATTTACTTTTGATCCAGGGTAGCGATGATAAGAAATAGCGTACGGCGACTATAAATATGACAACCCTTACGGTTATGGCCGTTATTACACGAGGTATCCGTTGAACTCCATTCACGTAGTCATCAAAACCGTGGATTAATAACAGATTTTTTGTAAGAAATTTTTCAACCCGATTGATAGCCACGGATGGGTCGATATTTTGCGATACATATGCGTTGAATTTAAGCTTGATCATTTGTTTTATCCTAGCATTTAGATTCATAATTGAATTAGTTTAACTGTAAAAATACTTTGTTGTGAAAACAATTTTTACGCGTTTATTCAGTATATTTTATTATGCTAAATATATATAAATATTTATAATAAAAATGCTTATTAATTCAATGTGAACTATTTTCAAACTACAGATTTAATGTAAGTTAAACTAATATTTAATATACTGTCTTAATACTGTTTATTCATAGCATAATAATGATAATAAATCATGTTATTTATTTTTGAAATAAATATATTAATGAAGCAATAATGATCGTTTAATGTATTATTTTCATACTATTGCGAAAACAAAAATCATTTGTTTTTATAATTAGACTTTATTTTTTGTTTAAATAAAATTATTGCAAAATAATATACATTTTTCATTTTAATATATCATTAATTATATCTAGTTATGTAATAATATTGATAAACAATGTAAATTATTTTTACTATATCATTAATTTATGTGTTTATGATTTATTATCATAATATGATATCTATTATAATATAATAACATTCATTAGAAATGATTTATGTACTAGGAATGTACAGTATGAGTAACTATCAAGTACTTTTATGAGATAATTATATATATTAATTAGTATTATAGCTTTTTAAATATTTCAATCACTAATTTCATTGCATATAATGTTAACTGTAAATTGAATGCAATACTTGATCCATTTAATATACTACACTTTAAGTGTGTGTACCAGTACAATTTAATTATTTCAAAAAATAAAGTCACAATTGAAGTAAATATTCCGATTCCCAATATTATGAATAAATCTTTAAGGAAATTTAATTCAATAAAATCGCCATTGTGGTGAAACTTTAGATAACTTTGTGCGAGTTTATCATTCATTTGGAGTTGCTCGATAAGTTTTCTATGCCCATACATATTAATACTAACGTCATAAATATTTTCGCAATGGTAATTAATACCAGATTCTGCGAGTTTTGCTAAACTGTAGAAAATAATTAATTATAAAAAATTTTTAACATTGTACATAACTTACATTTTCAGCAAATAAATAATATTTGTATCATTTGATGCTCGAATAGGGAACGTGATATAAATGGGGTAATATTTTTCATTTGCCATTTGAAAATTATAAGCAAGGTTCTCTCCCTGTACTTTACGTGCATTGTTGCCATCCCTAATAAACGCCATTTGTCTCATTGATATATTATATTTAATCTCCTAAAACATATAAATTAAAAATTGACCTAATATTCAACCTTGTAGCAAATACTATTACCTCATTAGTAGCAGCATCAGCATAAATGATCCGATTACTATCAGCCAATATCTTAATATATTTATCCTGAATACTATTGTCCTTGATTGCATAGGGAATCCATGAATCCATAGGAATGACCACACTCATTTTTGAATCAACTAATTCTTGTAATGAATTAACCAGTACAAATTCGTGATTAAATATAGAATATAATATGTTACCACTGAAACAGTTTGATAGTATCACGCACATTAAAGCCCATATAATAAATAATATATCAAACTTTTTATTCAAGTTTTCATTGAACAGGGGTGCGATAATTTTGAGAAATATCTGGGATATGGATATGTTAACAGGGTATTTGTGTATTATATTTTCATATATATAGTAAAATAAAACAAGAACAATTATTGTCACTAATATGAGCAAACATAAAAATGTTTGCCAAAATAGCGGTAAGTCGTTTTGTTAAAATTACTATTGGTTAGAATTGAGCTAGAACCACTATCTCAAACCCCGCATACAATCCTTTTAACGCCTTAAGACCGGTACTACTGCCGCACCCGCTCTGGTCGGTAGCCATCCATAAGCCGGTGTCCCAAATGGTGTCGCCATCGCACGGGCCGCCAGATAGCACTCCGCACTCCATGTACTCAAAGTTGCCTTTAATTTAAAATAATCATCATCATCAAACAATTATTGATATATTTATGATATCTGTACTTGTCAAACGGAAAAGACCAGACAATTTGTAGGCTTATTTATCAAGATAATCTTGCTAATAAATAAAGATTTTAAGATAAGCTTATAATTGTCTGGTCCTTTCCGTATGAAGAGTACAGATATAATAAAAATAAATAATAAAATAAGTATTTCTATTTTTATGAAAGGTAAGATATTTTTTTAGTTCTTACGACTAAGGTATAAAATTTTATAAAAATTACTATAGAATCGTGCGATTCATTAATAAATTTTATATAGAAATATATGAAAATATATAAACCATTATTAGTGCTATAAATTCCCTGATGTTGTGGCGACCATAACGGCACCGATATGTCCCCCTTATGGCCATTGAACGTAACGTTGTTTGTGAATCCCGCGTACCCATAGCACGCAAATGGTTTGGTTATGATCTCGTTGTACGTGATTCGCGTTATAAATGATCCGGGTTCACATTTATAGTCCTCTATATCAGTTATGTTGTCGATTACCAGGGCTGACGAGACTACCAGGGTAACCAATATTATGTATATAATATTAGATATTGACATAATAGTAAATTTTATGATTATATATTATATTTACTATTATATTATTTTAATCATGTTAATATATTAGAATGCTTACATGTGGATGTAGCTAGATCCTTTGGGTATTTCAGTGGGAATAAATCTAAGTTAAATAAAATATAGTTAATTTTAATAACATTCAGTTAATGTGTAATATACCTTTGCAATAGTCCTGTGAACTCAAACCAATGCAAACACTTAACACACAAATTAAAAAGTGATTCATTTTTGTTGATTGATTTACTTGTGAATAGACTTTCAATTCTCACAAATGTAATGATAATTATCGTACTATTTTCATTAGTTTATATAGTATTTATAAAAACACTTGTGAAAACTGATACCATGATAATTCATATAAAACAAACATTAATTAAATGATTAAAAATACTCTAGTTCACATTGTCCTAAAATTGTAATCTTTATAGTATAAAACGTTATTTTATAAACCTTGTAAAATATTATATTTTTACTGTGATCGGCATTATCCTAGTTTATAAATCGCTATATTGACTAACAATTGTATTAGAGTAGGATAACATTGTACTAAAGTTATTATGTCACTTTATATTTATTTTGAAAGAAATGTACTATGTACTATATTAAGATAATTTAGGACATATAGAAATCAGACAAATATTTAATACAAAAATACATTAATTATACAACTAAACTATATTTATCATTATAATTGAAGATTGTTATGTCAGGGGTTTATAATTAGTTTCAGTTTTAATTATCGACTCTATACTATTATTAAGTTTATTACACATCTATAAGATTTTAATATTGATTTAATAATGTTTCCCAACTTTAATAACAGTATAAATACCAAGATGCATCAATAGTGATTTAATTAAAAATACATAAAAACTAATGTATTGCATTAATCAAGGCCCATTTTTTGTAATAAGCCTTAAGTATTTTAATAATAATTCGGTCATATGTACTAAATTATATATTAAGCACATAAATATGATATTTTATTTTATAATGAAAAATTAAATAATATATGGTATTATCTTTGATATATTACCATGGAAATATATCATTGAAATCCTTTTCAAGTAACAACTGTGTATTTAATTTGTAATATATTTATTATTATTTAATATAAATTAATGGTTTTATCATTAATAATTGTTCACAACATAGTATAAGTAATTATTTTCATATTATTTTCATTATAATTAAATCTTTACAAATCATGAATATTATCTTTCTACAATTTTATAAGTTATTATATCAATACAATATAATAATAATTATGTTCAGCTTTTTAGACCATATGAATTTTTATGTGTTTAAAAATAGCCATAATTTAAATGGTTTTATAAATACATTGTCATAAATACATTGAATTTAATTAAAATAGTAATAGCTTTTTAAAAATATTTCATTGAGCATATGGCAATGTTACATTAAAAATTATGCTCAAACCTAGATATAAAATTTATGTAAACGCTATTTCTAACTTAAGACAATAAGCTTAATAATAAAATGTGATTCATTATGAAATAGACCATAAAGTCTTTGAATTCCGTGTTATTCATGAGAAACATATCATAACAATAGAAACCAATGTCTTTGGCCGACACTCTCTCTATGAATGACATTATTTTGAGTCTATTTTTCACTGAAATTCGCGTATTTTTCGCACAAATATATGAATTCACAATTGAGTGACACTTATAGGCAGATGAATTAACCTTGCTGCACATCTTATCAATAAATAAAGCAAGCAGTATTGTTGAGAAAAATACTATGCTAAATGTCAATTTTGCAATAACCGTGGTCTCTTTAGCAAAAATCAAAAACAACACTAGCTCTAAGCCGGGACTAGTTATGTAATACATAATATAGATCATATATTTATACGAATTATTTAGCTTGCAAATAATTATAGCCAATGATTGATAATCATTAATGGCTGCCATAAGTAACGTAACATTGTTATTGTGTATAGCTACATTAATTTGCTCGTTCACTTCCATGTATTTATACTTTATATACGTTATGGATATGCCAAATAAAATCACTGTGAACGATGTTATACTAGCTAAATGCTCGGTCACTACAGTCCAACATATCTGCCATAATATTACACCACTTAATGAATACCCAGATCCGGGGTCCATGTATGACATTATGGCTATGGATGCATACACTATCAAGCAAAGCGTATTCAATGCCCAAAACGATTGATTCATATAATATTTGGTGAGTATATTGAACCGAAACATAAGTTTCTGATAATGGCTGCCATGTAAACGCGGATTCAGTTGATTGTGTTTAATATTATAGAAAAATTCATGAATAAATGATGAGTTTATATGAAGAGTTACGTAATTCATGGTACGTCACGATAATTAAAAACACGAACACCGCCAGGTTTCCGAAACAAAAGAACCCTGATATTAAGTGTCGGTTACCTAGTAGGTAATTAAAATCGCATAATAGGTGCTTCAGATATTTACTTTTGATCCAGGGTAGCGATGATATGAAATAGCGTACGGCGACTATACATATGATAATCCTTACGATTATGGTCGCTATTACTCGTGGTATGCGTTGAACGCCATTCGCGTAGTCATCGAAACCGTGGATTAATAACAGATTTTTTGTCAGAAATTTTTCAAACCGATTGATAGCTATAGATGAGTCAATATTTTGCGACACGTATGCATTGAATTTATGCTTGATCATTTGTTTTATGCTAACGTTTAGATTCATAATTGAAATAGTTTTATTGTAAAAATACTTTTCAATAAATAATTTTTACATGTTTATACAGTTTATTGTATTATGCTTAATATATATATAATAAATAGACTTATGAATAAAATGTAAACTATTTTCAAACTACTAATTTAATGTAAGTCTAACTAGTACTTAATATACTGTACTAATACTGTATTCAAAAATAAATTTAGTGTTTATAAATAGCAAAATAAATGATACTTATGCAATTTATTTTTAAAAACAAATATATTTATGAAGCAATAATGATTATTTAATGTATTGTTTTAATACAATTGCGAAAACATAAATCATTTAAAGTTCAGATTTATTTGTATAATTTTTATTTTTTGTTTAAATAAAATTATTGCAAAATAATATGGATTTGTCATTTTAATATATCGGGTGTCCCATCGTATCAGTACGACTTCTAAATTAATTTAAAAATATTTACAATTATATTTTGATAACAAAAACTATACCAAAATGTTGGAAATTTATTAAAATTTTATGTGGGATTCAAAAAATATTCACCAAATGCCTACCCTGGTCATAAT